AGGCCTCTGGGTGCACGGTGGGGTCAGCACTGCAGTCGTTACCCAGCTGTGCAGAGAGAAGGGATTCAGGCACTTTCTCACTAGTTTGGTTCCATGGTGTCATTTAGTCCCCAAAATCTCATCTCTGTTGAATACTGGATTTCTGCCCCAGTTGTTCTCTTGAACGTGTGAAACTGCCTTTGCCCCTCATGGTGTGAATCTGTTTCTTGTTGATTGCTGATATCTGAGTGTGTGTCGCTTAAAGGGGTTTAAGGTTGATGCTCTCATCCTGACCCCTCTTCCATGCACTGCTCGGTAGCCCTCGCTGTCCCAGGAGGCACTGACTTGCCACCCAAGAAGCGGATAGATGCTAAGAAGAAGCTTTCCAAAGCCATTGAGAAGCGCTTTCCCGAGGCCAGGCTCTTCCCACTGAACACGGAGCAGGAATCCTCACTGCTCCTCAGGCACCTCTCCACACAGAAGCAGCGGCACCTCGCCTTCCGGGACCGGCGTGCTCACCTGCTTGCCCACGCTGCTGAGTTTGTGCCTGCTCAGGAGGGTGACCTGGTTGGAACCCTGAAGGTGTCTGGCTTCGTGCGGGGACAGAGCCTCAACGTGAACAGCCTGGTGCATATCGTGGGGCACGGAGACTTCCAGATGAGCCAGGTGGATGCTCCCCCTGATCCCCTCTCTTTGAACCCCCGAGTGGTTAAAGGACAGAAGAGGAGTCAGGACATGGAGGTGCAGGTGTGTTGGAGGTCAGGGTGTTGCTGGTTGTGTTTAGAACATGGTGTTTCAGAACTTACATCAGGAAAACACAACTGGGTGTATGTGCTCAAGGGGAGGCGAAAGGGAGTAGTATTAGTGCCAGCTCTTGAGCAGAGGTTCCTCACCCACAGCACGTAATGAACATGATACTAAAAGGAACTGCAGTTAAAATCCATTGCCAGCTTCAGTTAGGAGTGTTCACAGCTCAGAACTCTGCTCTTGCCCTCCAGGATGATTCTGTAAATGGGACTGATGAGATGGAGGAAGATGTTAAGGTCCTGATGAAAGCAGATCCAAGCAAGCAGGAGTCCTTGCAGTCAGAAGTGGTTCCTGATCCTATGGAAGGGGAGCAGACATGGCCTACTGAAGAGGAACTGCAAGAAGCAGAGGGTGAGTAGCAACAATACTCCTGTATCTTTCCCTTGTCCCTGTTGAGGGTTGTTAGAAACCCTCGGTTGTTGTTTACACCTGTCCTTTGTAAATGGTCCTGAGGGAAAGGAGAATGATTCCTTCATTAACCATTGGTGGGAATCCTACAGCTTCCCTGAAGGCAAACAGGAGAGTGGTGAAGGTCCCCAAAGGCACATCCAAGTACCAGGCTGCCTGGATTGTGGATGATGAAGAGGGCAGTGAGAAAGATGATGAAGACACTGAAGATGATGACATGGATGAGGATATGATGGAAGAGGCAGTTTCCCAGGTACATCCCAAGAGCTGATGCTGCCGGTGGTGCTGTGGGGTGTTACTGTGTATTCCAGGACAATCCTGTCCCGTTTTCCTCTATGCAAGGGCACCACAAAGAGCCAGAACTTGCCTGGATTTCCACTGTTAGATCTGTCACGTGTTTGATGTTGCTTCTTTGGCTTCCTTTGTGTCAGGAGGGGGAGAGCAGTGGGGAGGAGGAGGAACCTGCAGAGGAGGAGTGTGAGACTATGACCGTTTCTGAGTGCTTGCGGGACGAACAGTACGACGAGAAGGTGGAGGAAGATGAGCAGATGTTGGAGAGATACAAACAGGAGAGGATGGATGAAATGTTTCCCGATGAGGTGGACACACCACGGGATGTTCCTGCCAGGATCCGGTGAGAAACGGGGTGCTCTCCTTGGAGAGGAGCTGGAAAGCACCTTTCTGCCTGGTTTGGTGAGGGCAGGAAGCCTGTGATGTCTTAGCCATGGTGTCTGAACCTGGCTGAAGGACTCTTCTGAAGACTCATTCTTAGGCTCTGAGGCTTCCAGGGGATGCAACAGTTGGGAGGCAGTGGGTGAGCCTGGGCATGGAAAGCTGGGATCTTACCTAGGAGAAGGGAGGAGGATGGCAGAGCCTGGATGCAAGGCTGCTGTTTCTACCTCTCTCTGCACTAAGATCCCTTCTGAGAGCTCATGTCTGCTTTGCTGCCTTTGTCCTCTCCGAAGGTGTGAGTCCATGTGGACCACAGAAGTGGGCTGGCCGCACACCTGGACTGGTGAAGTAATTTGTCTTCCCTGTTATCCCTTCCCTAGGTTCCAGAAGTACAGGGGGCTGAAGAGCTTCCGGACTTCTCCATGGGACCCCAAAGAGAACCTCCCAAGGGATTATGCCAGGATTTTCCAGTTCCAGGACTTCTCCCGGACCAGAAAGCACCTCTTCCGGCAAATAGAGAAGGAGGAGACCGAAGGAGCATCTGTAACTCCCTCTTTCTGATCTCTTCCCTTATTGTGTTCCCTTGTTCCTAACAGGGAGGACGTCTCAGGGTGGTAACTGGGTGGATCTTTCAGGCAGCTGGTTCTCAGCACAAAGCCAGAAGTTCACCCTTTAACCCAGGCACGTTATTCCTGACACTCTTCTGTTAAGAGAACTATTCACAACCAGTCCTCTCCTGGCAGGTTGGCTGGTACGTTACACTTCACCTCTGCAATGTCCCTGTCTCGGTGATGGAGAGCTTCAAAGAAGGGAAGCCCTTAGTCCTGTTCTCCCTGCTTCCACACGAACAAAAGGTGATTAAATACAGTCCTGCTGCTATCTTGCAGCTCCTTGTCTGGTTCCATGGGTTGGAGAGGTTCTGCCTGCGGAGGGATTGGGCTGAAATCTCCCCCTGTTGCATTTTGCAGTAGGACCTTCCCTTTGGTCAGAGCAGGGGTGTTTGGGCTCGAGTGTCTGAGCCTGGCTGAGGCGTCTGCACTGGTAACCAGTGATCCTTTGGGAAGCCATTATCAAGAGCACTCACCTCTGCTGCAGTGTCCCATTGCTTTCTGCTCCAGCATCACTTCCAGCCCTGGGTCAGCCCCTCTCAGAGCTGCTTCTCTTCCAGATGTCTGTGTTGAACTTCCTGGTGCGCCGGCACCCGAGCCACAGCGATCCAGTGAGGGCAAAGGAGGAGCTGATCTTCCACTGCGGGTTCCGGCGCTTCCGAGCATCCCCCCTGTTCTCCCAGCACACCTCAGGTTCGGGAGGGACCACAGGGGCTGGAGTTTCCAGAGGAAGCCAGTGATGTCTTAGCCGTGGTGTCTGAACCTGGCTGAAGGACTCTTCTGAAGACTCACTCCTAGGCTCTGAGGCTTCCAGGGAGGCATTAAATAGTGGGGAGTGGAGGGGTTTGGGACTGGTCCAGGGAAGGGGGTGTCAGGCTCCATGCAGTGAGCTCATAGGATCACCTTCATTCCCAGACATTCATAGTGGCACAGGAGGGGTGTTTGTCACCCCTTTTCTTAAAGCACAGAGCCTGTTTGCTGGGGATAATGGGCTCAATGGGGTTTCCCAGAGCTCTGGTGACTGCTCTTGGCCTGAACTTGATCTTTTCTGGTCTCTCCTAGCCGACAAGCACAAACTGGAGCGTTTCCTGCGCCCGGATGCTGCCATGGTGGTGACTGCTTATGCTCCCATCACTTTCCCTCCTGCTTCAGTGCTGCTTTTTAAACAGAGAAGTAATGGTAAGTTGCTAAGTGCTGATGAGGTAGTGTCTGGGATCAAACATGAGCGAGCTGTTCCCATACCCCATTTACAAGTGCATCTATCCAGAAAAAGGCATCCCCTTCATGTTATTTGAGAAGATGCATGTATTTCCATCCCCGTTATCACTGGCACCTTTGGCTGTCCCTGTTCTGGGGTTGTTCTGGGCCTGGAATCATTTGGGGGAAGGAGGTTTTGATGGGGTAGAAGAGGTGTTATCAGTGATTCTGCCTTGCAGGAATGCATGATCTCATCGCCACTGGTTCTCTGCTGTCTGTGGACCCCGACAGGATCGTCATCAAGCGGCTGGTGCTCAGTGGCCACCCATTCAAGATCTTCACCAAGATGGCTGTTGTGAGATACATGTTCTTTAACAGAGGTACAGCTCTGCTCTGTGTGGTGGGAAGAGGGGATGTGGAAGCAGAACTCCTGTGGGAGCGGTTGTGTTGGTGCAGCAAAGCCTGTTCCTTACCTGCCTTTTGTGTGTTGATCTCCAGAGGATGTGATGTGGTTTAAGCCAGTGGAGCTGAGGACAAAGTGGGGCCGTAGAGGACACATCAAGGAGCCATTAGGTAGGTTTGATTTGGGATTTATCCCTGTGATGCTGGGCAGGAGAGGCAGCTAATGGCCTCTTCTCTGTGCCTAGGAACCCACGGGCACATGAAGTGCCAGTTTGATGGACAGCTCAAGTCCCAGGACACGGTGCTGCTGAACCTCTACAAGCGGGTTTTTCCTAAATGGACTTACGATCCCCACGTTCCGGAGCCTGTGGCGTGGGTGAGGAGCCAGAGCACGCTGCCAGTGCAGGAGGTGGACATGGAATAACTCCAGCGTGGCTGGAGTTGGTGCCTTAGCTCCTCAGCTGCTGTTCTCAGGCCGCGCACAGTGAGGACAGCACTGATGTATGGATGTGTCACTGCTGGGGTCTGTACAGGGGTGGTTCTCTCCCCAGCTGCTGCTCAGGTACCAGCTACAGCTATTTATTTTAATGGAAAGTGTTTTCAAAAACTTCTTAAAGTGCTTCTGTCGTGGTGGAGGCTGAATGGGGAGGCTGTGGGTACCCCCTGCTCATTGGGGCTGTTTTCCCCAGCCACGTGTGCAGGGATTCTGCTGTATGAAGGACACGAGTTAGCTAGAAGTTACTGTGATACTGAGAAAGGTGAAGGGAGGGTGGCTGAGCATAAAGCCAGGGCACTGGGGAGAGGAAAACAGGCCATGCTTTGTTTCCATACCCCCAGTAGGAACCCTTTGCTGCGGAACCAAAGCACCTCCCTGCTGCAGAGACCACCCCCAGCTTCCTTTATCCATCCACAGAACCCTTTCAGACCTTTGGGGCTGTTCTGTCTGTTTTTAGTAGCACACAAACCAGACTCTACAAGCCCAGAGCGAGGCTCCCATCGCTGGAGGCACCGCTCCGTTCTCATTCCGCTGTCCCAGGGCGCTCTGTGAGCCAGGTCAGGGAGCTCAGGTCCACGTTTCCCCCGCACAGCACGATGCAAACGTGCTCCAGATCCCGAGGGAATGCCTGGAACCGCTCCGAGAGCACGGCCGCCACTCCTACGCCTGCTGTTGGCTCAATCAGCAGCTTCATTCTTTCCCACACCAGCCGTGTGGCTCGCTGTCGGGACAGAGCAGCTGCTGTCATTCCAGCAGCAAGGACCGGCTGCTCCAGGGCTGGGGAAGGGGCATGGGGAGAGCAGAGCTTCCGCCAGCCCTTTCCAGCTGGAGATGTGCGTGTTGGACATCTGCAGTGGGGTGAGGGTTGTGCTGCTCTGGGAGCTTATCCCTGGGACAGAGCTGGATGAATGGGAAGAGAATGGATGGAGACAGTTGGGAGAAGGGGACTGGGAATGTTCACCTTGATTTCTTCCTCTGAGACTGTCAGGACATCATCAACCAAGTCCCTGATGATGGGCCACGTGTTGGGGCCGATGTTGGTTCTCACTGCATCTGCGATGGTTTCTCCTGGGTGAGGACTGGGGGTCAGCTCCCCTCTCAGCTTGGACTGGTAACAGTCGTCTGCGTTGCATGGCTCAGCAGCAAACACCTTCACATCTGGTCTGAGAGCCTGCGGAGAACAGGAAGAGCCACCCGGATGAAATTCCTCCGTGTCAGCCCCCTGTTGCTGCTGGTGCAGGGGGTTGCATTACAGCCATGTGGCCCCCAGGGATCCTCACAGCAAGGTCTCTCTGTTTCTAAAGAGAAAAGCTGCTCATTGCTTTGGAACCCTACGCTTCCCACCAGGACACGCAGCCACCGCTTCCCAGGTGACCCGTTGCCTACCTTGATGGCAATTGCTATTCCTGCAATCATTCCTCCACCTCCAACCGGAGCCACCACTGCATTTACCTCGGGTGCCTGTGCAGAAAGGAAGCGTTGATACTCATGTACCCCTCTCTGCTGTGCCCCTGCCTCTGAGGGGTAGGGTCCGGTGTCATGCACTGTGGTCCCCTCACCTGCTCCAGCACCTCCAGCGCGATTGTGCCTTGCCCGGTGATCACTGCTGGCTCCTGGTTGGGATGCACCATGACTCCTCCTGTCTCCCGCACCACCCGAGCTGCTGTCTCAGCTCTGGACTAAGGGAAAGCACAGATGCCACGTCTTGGTCTGGCAGGGCCACGCTCTTGCCAGTCCTCCCCACGCCTTACCTCGTCACTGGGCTCACATGGCACCAGCGTGGCACCGTAGCTGCGGATGGCATCTTGCTTACACTGTGGTGCTGTGTGGGGCACCACGATGTAGGCAGGAATCCCTGTGTGATGAAAGAAGAGGCGAAGCCAACAGCAGAAGAGCTGCATTACTGCTTTGTCACACTGGGGTTAAGGAGAGGGACAGCCCTGCTTACCTCCAGCCATGGCAGAGCTGGGTGCCTGGAGCTCCCTCTGCCCAGCATCCACCTCTGCCTTTACCCTGGCCCCATGCCCGCTGCCTGTCCGCTCCCTGAGCTGGGGCTGAAGGTCAGGACCCACATTACCTTCTGCCTGGGCAGCGCAGGCGAGGGCCTGCCCGTGATTCCCACTGCTGTGTGTGACAACGGCGCGGGGCAGCTCCCCTCCAGCGCGCTCGCTTCCCTCCACCAGGCTCCTGACTGCGTTCAGGGCCCCGCGGATCTGCAAGGACACAGCAGCACCCTCCCTTAGGGTGGGTGACAGCAGACAGCGAGGTTCCTCCATCACCAGAAGCAACCGGTGCCCCGAGGCCGGGGGACGGCCGCTCACCGCCGCCATCCCCGCGCACCTTGAAGGAGCCGGTCTTCTGGAAGAGCTCGCACTTGAAGAGCAGCCTCCGGCGGGCCAGGCGGGCCAGGGCCGCGCAGGTGAGCAGCGGTGTGCGGTGCACCCGCTCCCGGAGCCTCCGCTCCGCCTCCCGCACATCGCACAGCCCCAGGCGGGGCGGCTCCGCCATGTGCTCCGCGGTCCCGGGGCCCCTACGCGCATGCGTCATCCGCAGCTGTTTTGTCCCTGCGCGGCCGCCGTCCGTGCCTCCGCCGGGGCGGGGCGGGGGGGGACGGAAGATGGCGGACGGGCTGGAGCGCGTCCGCGTCTCGGCCGCCGAGCTGCGGGACATGGTGGCGGCGCAGGCCCGCGCTGCCGGCGGCGGTGAGGGCGGGCGGGGACCGCGGAGGCGGGAGCTGGGGACCGGGAACGGGACCGGGCTGGCGGGAGGCGGGAGCCGCCGCTTGGGCCTTCCCCATCCCGACAGCTCCGCTTCCCCTCAGCGGCACCGGCCTGCGGTGAGCGCACGGAGCCCGGCGCCGGTGGAGGCTTTGCCCCGCGGTTGGGGCCTCGCTGCCCGCTCGGGGCTCAGCACCCACCCGCCTCCCCCCGTAGCGGTGGCTGTGGCGGGGCTGAGGGTCGGTGGTCCCGGTTAGTGACAGGGGGGAAGAGCTGAGGTAACGCAGCCTGGCTGCAGCGTAGCGTTCGGTTATGTGTTGGCCAGGCTGCGTTCTCTGACGAGGTGCTGTGTAAATACAGCTACAGGGAGGAGGAGGGAAGCGTTACGGGGTTGCGAGCAAGGGGGGAGGACCCATCTTTGACTCAAACCGTGCCCTGGCTGGCTGGGGGAGGCTCCCGAAGCAGCGGCAACCACTGCTGAAACCTGGAGCAGCAAAAGTGCTCCCAGTACTCGCACACGCGTGCTCGTGTTTCGCACTGGGCTTTGTCCCTTTTCCCCTCTTGGTGGTGCTTTGAGGCAGAAGCTGTGGTGGGACTGTTTTGAGGGTGAATCAGGCCAAGGGTTTGGCCAGCTCTGTGACAGCTTCTCATTTTCTGCTCCTATAAACCTTGGCTTTTAGATCTGTTCTCTTGTTCCTGCCCTGGGGGTGGTAGGTTCTTTGTCTTTAATAGCTCTCCTTGAATATATGTCATTATAGTTGGTTGTTCCTGGCTGGTTTGTGGTGAGAATAACGTTGTTGTGCCTGTTTCTCCTCAGATACCATGAAGGAAGTGAAGGAGCCGAGGCACCGCAAGGACAACAGGCGCCCAGACCTGGAGATCTACAAACCTGGGCTCTCCCGCCTCAGGAACAAACTGGTGCCACCAAAGCCTGGGGCCTCGGAGAAGGAGAGGAGCAGGGAGGGGAGTCCCAGTGACAAGGGAGGGAGGGCTCCAGTCGTGGAGGATTTCACTAAAGGCGATGGCCCCAAGCAGAATGGTCCTTTGCAGGAGAATGAAGAGACAAAAGGTGGTCTTCAGAGCCCAGAGAGCGTGTCCAAGCAGCCAGCCTCGGATGAGTGGTGTCCCAAAGCCACCAGGAGAACCAAGAAGCCAGACCAGCAGATCTACCAGCCTGGGAAACGCCTGCATTCAGCTCCAAAGGAACCATCCCTGAGGTCAGGGACTGAGGAAGTCACCAGTAAGATGGAGCAGCTGAAGGTTGAGAGGGATGAAGAGACCGAGAAAGGGACTGGAAAAGACAACAACAGGAAACCCAAATCAACCAAGGAGGATAGAGAAGGGAGCCAGGCAGGGGAAGGAGTGAAAGCCTCAAGGGGAGAAAAAGGAAGACGACTGGAGCGAGGTGACAGGATGAGGAGAGCAAATGATGACGGCAAGTTGGGCTCTACCAAGCGGTATTCCCGCTCTGACAAGCGCCGGAGCCGGTACCGCACCTGCAGCACGAGCTCAGCTGGAAGCAACAACAGCGTAGATGGAGCCCCACTCGTGGATGGGGTGGAGAGGCACCAGCAGCGTGCCAGAGAGAGGATACGTCCCAGGAAGCAGCTCTCTGCGTCCTCCACTGACTCCCTGGATGATGACCGGATCGATGAGACAGAAGCTTATGTCTCCAGCAGGAATCTGGACAGGAAGAAGCATCCAGAGCAGAGCCGAGCTTCTAGGAGTGAGAGTGAGTGGAGCAGCAATGGCAGGGAAGGGAAGGGATCCTTTCGAGTCACATTTGACAGCAGGACTATGAGCAGGGATGTCAGCCTGACAGACACAGAGAAAAAAAAGCCCCTGAAGGCATTTGGTAGTTGCAAGGACTCTGAGGCTCTGGAGGTGAGGAGCCATAGCAGAGAGCCCCAAGGGAGAGGCCGTGGGATCCTGTTCCTTCCTGCCAACACCGACCTCTCTGCCAGCACCACGGGCTCCCCAGAAGCCGTTCACCCCGGGCCCAGGCTGCTGCTCGGCGGGGCTGGGAGCAAAGGCCCCCGCAGCAGGGGCCGGGGAGGGACCATTCGCAGGCTGTGGGACCCCAACAACCCGGACCAAAAACCTGCCCTGAAGAGCCAGACTGCTCAGCTCCACTTCCTGGACACGGATGATGAAGTGAGCCCCAGCTCCTGGGGGGAAGCCCGCCAGGCCCAGACCTCCTACTATAAGTTCCAAAACTCTGATAACCCCTACTATTACCCTCGTGCCTCCGGTCAAGGCGCTCAGTATCCTTATGGTGGGTACTCCCTGCAGTATCCCATGGGTCCAAGCAATGGTGTGTACCCAGGAGCCTACTACCCTGGTTACCCCGGCCAGGCAGGGCAGTACATGTGTGGCCCACTGCCCCCAGCCCCTTTGAGTCCTGAGATGGAGCAGCAGATGAGGAACTTGCAGCAGCAGGAGCTGAGCAAACACCTCCGTGAGGCTGGGAACCAGGAGCAGCAGCTCAGCAACCTGCTTTCCAGAGACCGCATCAGCCCGGAGGGGCTGGAGAAGATGGCCCAGCTGAGGTGTGTGGCTGTGCTGTAGAGGGAGGTGGCACTGAGTCGTTTCCAGGGTGAACTTAACAGAGCTGTTATCCAGGGAATGGTGTCTCCTTTGGGGGGGTTGATATACTGGAGATGTTGGTGTCTCAGAGACTGGGAGATGGGGTAGTGGCTCAAAAGCTTCTCATGTTCTGGGTCTATTTGTCATGTGTGGGTATTGAAACTGTGGGTGAGCACACCGTTCATCTAGGCTGAGAGCTAAGCTGTGGATGGGGAATGCCTTGCCCATGTTTCAGGGGTATGGAGGAGCAGGACAAGCACCCACTGCAGCTCGTGGGTTCTTTTTGCTCTTGCTGGAGCTGCTTTCTCTCACTTCTAGTGCTCTCACATGCCTTCAATATTTGCTGAAATACTTCTGCTTCCTTACCTGGCCTCAGTTATCTGTCTGATCTGCACTGTGGCCTTCAGGGGTTCTGCTTACAAAGAGATGTGTGGGATTCTCAAGCTGTGTGCCTTTCAAGCACAGGGTAGTGTTGTTCTTGTCACCACTTGATGCTGTGACATACAGTGGTCCAGTGGGAGCAGCCTGGTGACACCAGCTAGTGAGAGGGACCTGCTGTCCCTTTGGCAGAACTGTAGCAGCTCTTCTTGCTCTTTGCCAGGCCCTGATCCATTCTAATGCATGCATACAAGGGAAATGGTCCTTCCAGATCTACCCTTGTGGAGCAGGAAGTGTGTCTGACCGCAACAGCTCCCATTTCCCTGTGGGATATGTGTGGAAGCATCAGTTTGCCGTGGTGGGAGCTGCTGAACTGCTTATGCCTGGTGCTTGCTGGATGAAAAGCTGCAGGTGGCTCAGGACATGTTCCCTGGCAGCTCATGCCTGGGCAGTTGCTGTTGTATTAACTAATTGTGCTTCCCTGTAGGGTGGAGATGCTCCAGTTGTATGAAAGATGCATCCTGATGGATATTGAGTTCTCTGACACCCAGAACGTGGACCAGCTGCTGTGGAAGAACGCCTTTTACCAAGTGATAGAGAAATTCCGACAGCTCCTCAAGGATCCTCAGGGGGAAAATGCCCAAGAAATTCGGAACAAACTGCTCCAGCTTCTAGATGAGGTGAGAGGAGAGAAACATCCCCAAACCCCACAGAAGGTTTGGGATTGGTGGGATTGGCTGGTGTTCAGAACGGGATGGTGTAAGTGGGCAACCGGTGTTCTCAATCCTCTTCATATCGGTGTGTGCCTTAGGCCATCCTCGGACAAGGAGGTTGCTCAGGCAGATGATGGGTTAGTGTGGGACGTGGAGGTCCAGGGGATGTTTGTTACAACTTAAGCCAGGCTTATTTTGGTTTGTTTCATATTAATTAGAAATTGGTTTAAGTTACAATGAGATGAATGCCCTGAAGTGGAAATGAACAGAGGTGTTCCTGGAGATGTTTGTGCCACCTTTATCCAGTGTGCTTTAAAGTCATACTGTAAAACTGTGCAGCTCAGTTTACTCTTTGTAGAAAGTAGGCTGGCAGTTCCATGAGGATGTGTTTTATAGGATTAGATTGGTGGGATGGGACTGCTGGAGGGCTTTAGTCCAACCTCCTGCTCAAAGCAGGACTCCTCACACACTAGATCAGGGCAGTCTTGATATTGCCTTGCTCAGTCTCAAACCTCTGAGGCTGGAAATCCTCCAACCTCCTTGTTCTGTGCAGAGAAACAGCCCAAACCTCAGGGAAAGGGACCTTCCTGCAGGCAGGAATAACGTGGTGGTTTTTTGCTCATCATCAAAGGCTGTAACATCCAAATACTGTGTGTTTCACAGGGCACTTCTTTTTTTGATGGCCTGCTCCAGAAGCTCCAGGTGTCCTACCAGTTCAAGCTGGAGGACTACATGGACGGGATGGCCATCCGCAGCAAGCCCCTGAGGAAGATGGTAGGTTGGCATTCCTGGAGGCTTCTCATCCTGAACAGATGTCACTGTGTTTGCAGGGAATCTTTCTCAACTGCTAAAGAACTTGTTGAACCGACATTGGTGCATTGACATTTCTTAGCTTCCTTTGCAAAGAACTTGGGTTTTGTACCAGCTGAGGGCTGATGAAGGGAAATAAGTGTCCAAAGGTATCCTGGCTTTGCTTTAGATATTGAAATCTCTTATTTCTGCCCATGGGATGCAGACTAATGACCAAGGACAGCCACAGTTGTGCTGCCTCCCTGACACTTGCCAGCACTCTGCCCTGAGCTGGGAGTGCAGGTGTAAGGGACAGCTGGGAAAGGATA